GGAAATCCAGCGCGTTGCCCATCACTGGATACGATCGAGAACTTGGCGAAATTATTGCCAATGATTGTCCAAGCATTATGGCCAAAAAATAGCCCTTTATTACAATTACCACATATCACAGAGCAAAATTTACACTATTTTCGTCGTGTAAGCATGTTTTATGTTAAAACAAATTTAGTATTTGCTTTATTTTTCTCCTGTAAAAAAACAAATACTGTTTTGCGTCACAGAAGCGACTGCACTGTATTTCTTTTTTCTGGCTTCTCAGATTTTTAAGGAAAGTTATTGTTGTTTTTTTTGGAATTCCGTAAAATGAATATAATTTATATATTGATTTGATGTATATACCAGTTTTTAAACAATATCATAATCAAAAATCATTGTTTTAAAAATTTATTCAAGTGATTTCTTTCAGAATCGTATAATAACTTGTGCAGACCTTGCAAATCTAAATGAAACCAAACGTCGTCAGGTATTGCAATCGTTAAGCGATGCCGAATACAATGATATAGTCTTTGTACTGCAATCAATGCCTAGGTTAAATATTGAGCCTCGTTTTGAGGGTAAGCAAATTTATTTTTACTCAATTTTTACTTATTATTTTGATGTGTGTTTTTAATTTGACTTTTTGCAGTACAAGGCGAAGACGACGCTCAAAAAGTAACAGTTGGTTCAGTTGTTACTTTGAAAGTTGTTTTAACGAGAAGTCCATTGTTAGATTCAAATAAACGGGGAGAAGAAATGCGTGAAAATAGTGAGAAGGTAATGTTAATTCATTTTTTATGGACTTTTTTGGATTGGAAATTTTTTCTTTGATCGAGGTTTGTATTATTAGAAATTTTGTGTATTTAATTATCTTCCGACTTTAAAGGACGCAGAACCAGTGGAGGTGATAGATGATGAAGAGGAAATAAACGAAGAAAAAGACAACAACGTGCCAAAGAGAAAAATATGGGAAAAACCAAAAAAAAAACAAAATAAGACAAAACCAACGAAAAATAGACAAGGACAGAAAATTAAAATAAAGAAAGTTATAACTAACATGAAGCCAGAAGAAGACAACAAAGGGAAATTGGAGGAGCAAAAGAAGGATAGGAAAGAGAATAATGATGATATGGAAACAATTGGAGATAGCGAAAACGAAGAGCCGAGTGGATCCGAAAAAGGATATATCAGAGAGTTGGTCTCCAGTTGATTGTATTAGTAGTTACATTTCTCTTTTATGAGTTGAAAATAATTTAATCAAAAACCTTTGCTATTATGCCGTAAATCAGACTGTCTTTTATGCGTAATGGGCTCTTTTAGGTAGCGCATACAGTGTTTCTGATTTTTCAGATAACTGTGTGGGCAATTGCTTCCTGGAATGTCTTATAATCATTTTTCCATTTTTTGATGTGTTTGGAAAAAATATGTTCTATGAGGTATTTTTATTTCTGAAAAATATAGCCAAGCAAACTTCCTATGCAAATTTTTCCCAGCGAAAACGACAAGGAGAACGGCAGTGGTTCCGAAGGGATCGAAGAGGAAGAATCGGATAATGAAGACTGGGCGAATGAAAATATGATGAAAAAAGAATCAATTTTGGGGAGTAGGAGTAAAAAGACCCATCCAGTGCACTGTCCTTATTTTTCTGGCGAAAAATTCGAATGGTGGTGGTTATTACTTGTTGATAAGAAACTTCGCAAGCTGGTTGTACCAGCAGTACACTGTACAACACTTGTTAATGAACAAACGGTTTGTTTTAAATATTTTGTCTTATAAGCAGAAAATACTATTCTTAATTTTCTGGTGAAAGTGTATGTACGCGATTGGTCTTAGATTGGGAACATGATCCAGTCAGTAGGTCACAGTAAATCAAAGTAATAATAGGTTTACTGACTTTTTTCACATATGGATGTATTAACAATGGCAAAAATCAGTTCTACTCATTAGTCATTAGTTGCAGGTGGAAATAAAGTTCGCAGCACCGCAGCATAAAGGCGTATATTACTATAATTTATTGGTTAAATCGGATTCATATATGGATTGTGATTATTCACTCGATTTAAAGGTCAAATTTTTGTCTCTTTCAAGGGGTCCTTTTTGTCAAAAATTACTCAGAAATGCTATAAAATAGCGCGAAATGTTTTTTTTTTTTTGCCAAATACCTTCAGGCATCACATCTATCCTCTCTATTATCTCCAGCAATCAGTAATGGAAATTTTTGTGTGTGTTGTTGCAAAGAACAAGAATATGGGTACCATAATTTGAATTTAAGACTGTCATCAAGCATAATTTGACATGAGTTTACATATATATGTTCGAAGTGATATCTGGAATTAATGAATTATTGAAAAAATTAGAGGAGCGATAAGGCAAGAAGGATCGGGTAAATGATGATCGTGAACCTTTTCAAGTTTTTTTCCTCACTTTTGAATCTCCAGTTTCAAGTGACTTCTACTAGAATTTTCATCAATTTTCAGTTAGATGTACATGAGGCGAAGGAAGTGCCTATAATTAAATACGAGGATTCAGAGGAGGAAGAACAATTGGAGGATTCATCTGACTATACGGAAGATTCAGAATCGGAACACGAATAGCATTCCTCAAAGTTTGCGTAAATTTTTGTGATGATAAGAACTGTGTTAGTATTTTATGAATAGATGTTGACGGATTCTGTTATCCTGTGTGCTTTTTTTTGACTGAATTGTTTTAAATGCTCTTTACTTATTACTTATTGATACTGGATAACATAGGTAGCTTAATATTCCCTACTGTAAACTCAAAATCCATCTAAGTTCTTAATAATCCATGCAAGTGGTTCAAGCAAGTTCAGTATCACTGCTAGACGTAGGATATTATAATTGAATTGTGGAAAGACTTTCTCCAACTTATTTGCTGTTTGGAGGATGCAGTTTCAAATGTAATATTCCTGATTTTTTTTCATTATTAGAAATTTTTCTTTTCGAATTTGGATTCAATCTCTGTTATATTATGAGTACTCTTGGAAATTAGTAATGGGTTTTAATGATATGAATACAAGTGAATCAGTGCAGTTGAATCGATGACGAATTTTTTCATGATTGTTTATGAAAATATGTAAGTTAAAGATAAACGGATTAGCAACAGCCGTTATGGATCCCAACCTAGAGATTGATAATTATTCCAATTTTCCGAAATTTCATAGGTGAACATTTCTACAATCATTTCGAAGAGCACTGTACAGTTAAATTCATTCGAACATAGTCATGTTATAGAAAAATATTGATTTGTTGCATTTCTACACAAAGTATTTAATTGACATATTTGTCAGTCCCACACCATTGATATGAGGATTAATGAAATCGGAAATTTTGTCTCGTATCATACAGACAGTTCGTGAATGATAAATACTTTAATTATTGGTGGTTAAAAGTGTGTCTGGGTAATTTCAGCATGTTGGGTTCTTTATTTAATAAAAGTTTCAGGAAATTTCCAAGAATGCTATAGTAGCGTGTACAAAAAACAATGACCAATAGGTATAAGGAATTTGCATTTAAGTATTAGCAACAAAAAATGAATTGGTATCATTTTTGAAAAGTTGCATTCTCTTAAATATTAAATGCGAACAACCTTCTGCACGACAAATATAAGGAGGATGGTTGATGACAGCACAGGTGATTGGAAGAGGTGAACAACAGCTCCAAGGAATGGGGGAATGGAACAGTCAAAAACTGGTAGAAAAATTAATTTTATCAATGTCAATTTTTAGCATATATCTACAGTGGTTTCTTCATCATTCGTATAAGACAGTCTAAAAGTGGGCTCTATTCCTTTTGCGTAATTATTTTGTTCGATAACTCTCTATGAACATAGTGCGCACGGACCTTAACACTCAAGTTCAGAACACTTAACAGTAGTTCTAAAATCAAGCCATGACTTTTGTAGATATTCCTAATAGGCTATATTTAGGATCTTCCGATTTTTAGCTCAAAGTGGCGCATGACAAAATAAGAAATGAAAGAAAAAGAAATAAAGAACCAGTTTAAAGGATACTGAGATCTCGAAAATTCCCTAATCTTTCGAGAGATGTGATTTCAAGAGAAGCATCTAAAAACCGAAGTTTGGAACGGCACAAATATCATATGCCGTAGCCATGCTGAAAGAGTATGAAGATACAGAATTGAGCTTTCTTTCAAGCACATTTCAAATCTTCACGGAGTGGTACGCAAAATTAGCATCAACACTATCTTGCAAATTTATTCCTTTTCCGACGTAGCAAGTCAAAACGAATGACATAAATGTCGCTGATAACACAATCATATATATATATATATATATATATTTGATTAGTGAGCGCAAAATAATTTAATTTTAGCGAGTTTTTACAAGTGAATAAACTGATAATTTGAGATTCGAAAATTCGATATAATCAGTTCGGGAGAATGAATCAGAATTAAAGAAGATAAAATGAAACATCGGAATTAAGAAAGCCAAGTGCTTTAAAAAGCAGAGAATCATCACAGCCAAAAAACTTCATACTTTTTTCTACAATTCACCTCGAAGACATTCGTCAAGGTCAAATAGCCACCACCTTAATACAAATATCGAAACCTAATCATTATAAGGCTTTACCTAAGAAGCAGTAAATTTGTTCAATTCTTTTTCCAAAGTAAGATTATGTTTGTTCGACCAACTGCATGTTTGAACAAACTTGGGATGCAGTGATATCTAATTTTAATGTACTTTTCATTGGTCAAGAAATTCTAGAGTAGCAAAAAATTGAATACCTAATATCCATTCATTTTCATAATTTCTGTACGAATGGAATCATTTTGAATTATGTGGAACCAACTATCTTTTTTAAATTAGGCCAGGCGGTGATAATCGCTTTCTCCCTTTCGACTAAACTTCGAAGACAATATCACAAAACAACTGAAAGAAAATATATGTTCGAATTTGAAATTCGAAGCAAAATCACATATTAATGAAACTGTGTAGCTAACACACATACAGTAATACCAATTCACCGGAAATATCTTCTACGAGTTACCTCTGTCGGATGATTTATCAAAGTGACGAACGATATCTGTGACAAGATCATGATGTTGTTTGACAACATTGTCCCAACCCGGCGTGGATGTAATATTTCGTGGATGTTGGATGATAAATTCCACGGCACGATGTCTAAGACGTGGTGCACTGTAGATATCCGAAATGATGAGCAATTCGCAAACATTTTCAAATGTCAAAGCCTGCAAATAAAAAGATAATGAAGTGATCCAGACGATATGATAAATATACTTCTTTAACCGTGATTAATTTCATCTTATGGGGAATTATTCAACTTTCTACAAATTGAAGTGAATTATATGTTCTTTTATTCCGAAATATGGGCAAATCACACTGTAAAATTAGTGTGAACTGACAGATGACAAAAAATCCGGATGACATATTCACAAATCATTCACCTGGATCAAGGCTTTTTCACAGTGACTTTTCAATTCTTCAAGCCGATACTTGTCTGCAGCAATTAATAAATCGGAGGCAAATGCAAATTCATTAACATCTCTTAAACAGCGTCCACAGTAAATGAAATTGAGCATTTCCGTAACTGTATCATATTCCAGATCTTCGATTACCATTACACCCTATGACAAGACTTTCATTTGAAACAAGACAACGTGAAAAAAATTTTACATAATTAAACATTGAATTTCATAATTCTGCATTTTGATGTGCGAATATTCTGCAATGTAAAATACTCAACAAGGATATTCAATTTTTGTTAAACTCTTGTTATAAGTCTAACTTAAGTCACAATAATTAAATCAAAATGTATAGGAAATTAAATTTACCGTTTTAGCTTCATTGGTGTCTTCATGCCTTAGCATTGCAGCAAAAACCGGAGACCTAGCAGCGAGAATAGCTCGATGAACTCTAATTTCTCGCTCGCTCACTTTTATTGTGAAATCAGTCAACACATTATCTTTCAACATTTTCAAATAATCTTCTGTAAGCTGTTGCTCGCTATTACTCTGAAAAAGACTTCAGTAAAGTGAAATAAAGAAAAACTACTTATGAAGTAAATGCTGACCTTCATTCTTCTTTTTCCAACAAATATTTCCACAATTGAGAAATAGGAAAATGGAAAAAGAATATGATGAAATATAATCACAACTGAAATATGGCATTAAAAAACTTCCAACAAAGATTCAACAAACTCACGGTTAACATCTCCTCTAGCGTTGTCGTAACAGTTTCTACAGCTACATCTATCTCAACATTCACAATAATTGAATCATTTGGCAATATCTGCGGGAAGAGAACATCTCGTTTTATATACGAAACGTAATCAGAATGGGAGGGGTTTGGATGAATACGCATTTCGATTTCTTTCATTTCGCTAGTTCGTAAAATGAAGCTAAAAAGAAATGAAAAACTTAGTACTGGTAGGATAATTGATTAGTATCCTGAAGCATCGATTCAAAGGCCACAAAACAGCAGCAGAAAATAGAGATTCAGAGATAAAAATATGGCTTTGACAATTTTGAACTTACAACTTTGATCCATTAATGCACTCGCTTTATCTTGATTTTTTTAACACAAAGATTATTAAACTTATTTACCGAGATTTGAAGCCAATTTTTCCATTTTTGCACGGTGCGTTCGTATTACTGACCACTCTATTAAGACATAGAAAGACAAAGTCTTTATTATTTTCACCATTGCCTTTCGGGTAAATTTTGATGGACCAAGTAAGTGTGTCTTCACCACGATGCAAGTGAACAAAATTTTCCAAATATTCCTGATAACAGTGTGAAAAATTCTTCACTGTCCAACTGTGTTTCACATGCTGAAGAATGCTAATCATTTAATTTCAGTTTATCACTTATCACAGCATATTATGGTGCTCCAAAACTTAAGCCCCCAGAAACCAGGAAGCTTAACATTCATTAATAAAGTACGATTTTCTGAGTGTTTAAATCATACTACCTTGTTAAAGATTTGAAAGTTTTGCAAAATACTAGTACCTTAAAAATGGTAAAGTCATTACCAAATTGTAGTAGTCAATGCGACTGGGCTCTAGAAAAAAGTATACAATGAGAATTTGACGAACCTCAACTTTGATCTCAGTTTGCGAAGAATTCGAAGAGTGAGAAGCCATCGTCGATAAAGATTCGATAGGCATACTTAACTCTGAATTCGATGGCTCCATTCTTTAAAATTCCTTCAAAAATAAGTTCGTAACAAAAGAAGCAGAAAAAAGACCAATAAAAATGAATATTCGAACAACGCATGTCTGTTACTTGATATGGGAATCACATCGAACAGAAGCGATCTATTTAAGTACTATGACTCACTGGATCCACGAAATGATTAATAAATTTTAACGATAAAATACCCTTCACCGGTAATATTAAACCAAACAACAATAGTAGAAAGTTTCCCTCATGAGTTAATTTTTAAAAAAAAACAAAATAAATAAATATATGATGAAATCTTTACAATGTTTTTACAATTGATAGCTGTTATGTTATACGTTAAACAGTATACGTTAAATTTAAAACCTAATGACGAAAATATTAGCCAACTGTTGATTAAGACAGTGTGAACTCTTGATCAAACTTTTGGTCTTATGAAACTTTTAATGGATATGAAAATACGAAGTAATCCAAACAACCGTTTACCGGAAATAATGTATTAAAATAATTTGAAAGCAGTAATGATTCAAATATTCATTTTAACAATGAATTACCAGCTAAGCTCCACATTGTGCAATTTTTTCCAAAAGAATATCTGTCCATTTTAAATATGATGAAACTTATGCACAGAAAGCACCGAATAAAATCATTTAAAACAAAGAATTCATAAAAATTCTAATGATACCATGAAAACTGAAAATACAACGACAACAAATATTGCCATGAAAGTCTAGTTTTAATTAAAAAAGAATATGTGTGGCACATCTGTTATTACGCGGTACGATAAAACAGTGTAAGAACGTCAGTTAAATGTTAATGCGAAAAACAGAAACAATTAAGCAAAAAAGTTTTGTTTAACAAAGAAGCTTGTCATGAATGAAAGTTGAATACAAAACTCAGCTACATAATTATAGTCACTGAACCGTAAATCCTTCAAATACAACGTAATATCCAAAGATGTGACAGGATGCTGCGATCATTCATTAATAGCAACTAACTGCGTAATTTCTCGACTTATAAGAAAAAAATTCACTAGTTAGACATCGAAGATTATTCCAAATATTATAGGCAGTAAATATTACAGAAACACTACGGAAGAAAAGGCTGAATATTGTAAAAATCCACCGAACGACAACTGATACAAACGAAACACTTTCTTGGACTTTGTCTCTTTAACAAATACACTATCAGTGAAAGCCTTCAAAAATTAGAAATCTAAAATCCAAAATGTGTTGCAAGTAGATTTATAGACAGAGTTGTACAGCACCAGCACCAACTTTGTTGGAGACATATCACAAATTAATTTATCTCAAATACATACATCTCACAAAAATTTCATTTACCTGCTTAGAATCTTTATTTATTAAACAAGATGGTTTGCTCAAAAACGACACAAAAATGTTTCATAAGCATATTCATTACAGTTTCCTACTTAGAAAAGGATAAAAAATTGGAAATAGAGTGATCGCAGCATTAAAGAGAAAAACAGTATAAAATTTCGAGCGATTACTATGCGATGACAATGGTAGTTGAAGATACAGTGTACTTTCCGCCTAGCTGTGGATTAGTGAGAATTTTTAAATTTTCGGCGAGGATAAGTGGAAAATTAAGGAAGTATTCAAAAGTGATGGTGAAAAAGTTTCTGGTGTGGATGCCTTAGAAAGTGAAGGGGACGAAGTACCGTCTGAAAGAACACGTCCTTTCAACCAATTTCTGTAACGGATCATTCGCGGCGAAATGTGCAGGATAAGAGACAAAAGTGAGCCGTGGTAACGGGCGCGCCATATTGCTGAATACTCACGCGGTCGAACGAATACAGCGCACAACGTGAAAAAGGCATGTTCAAAAGCCTGTCGCACTAACTGAATATTATGCGAACAACGTCCAATATCGTTTCCTTAAAAGCTCTTCAAGTGTCGATCAATATTAATCATAGAAATTGAAATTTTTAAATTTAGTTATGTAGAAAATGCAGTTTGTAACTAGATAATTTTTTTGATCCGACGTTCCTAATTATAGTTACTTTTCGATATCGGAAAGTAAATACAATTAGAAACGACGGAGTTTCCATCACATAATCATTTTTTAAAAATGTTTAAGAATATTCCTCGCCAAATGTATCCCATAAATTTTGGAAAGAATTTTAAATATAACTTTGTATCCAATAAATTAAAAAAATTTATTACCTGGTTGTAAAGGATCTTCAATACATAACATCGAATTCGATGGTCTATTCATTTGTACTAAGATTTCGTCCTTGCAAACATACGCTCCGCCGCTATGAATACGTAAAGCTGTTTTCATGTAATTGAATTCTTGCCCGTAAAGTTGCAAAAAATTAAGCAATAAAACGCCCATATTCACCTCCGTGATTCCTTTGTATGAATAATCGTACGATGGGTGAAGCTGCAATTATCAATTTATTACTACAAACATTGAGTATCAATGCTTACAAGAGTAGTCAAACTGGCTAAATTTTAAAAAAATAAGTGAAAATTTGAGATTAGGAAATTGAAACAAAACAGGTGTTTGCAAATTGCCCCGGAAATTAGTTTCAAAAAATACCTGTAAGAAACTAATTAGCATTAAAATAAGTCCGTAAGATGACAAACCACCCGTGAATACCTGAAATAATTCATTCTAAAAAAAAAGCGAACACAACTAGCTGAAATTTGCTCAAATTAAATAAAAATAAAAACATTGGACGTCTAAACATCATGAATATACTGTCAGATGGAAGCAAACAGTCTTATGTTCCAAACAGAAGCCGATAATAGAAGACTTTTCACAAATTAATCAAAAATTATATTTGGTTAAAAAAATTATTGGACATAAAAAATGTAAGACGTACACCTGTAAGGAGAAAGAAGAATAAAGTAACCGATTAATAATACAACTTTTAACTGTAAAAAGATCATACTTGATTTAACTGCCGCTGCATCAAAAACTGTTTGAGGACCAACACCAGTGGTTCGAGCACGGGATACCGCATTTTCATATCTTCAATAAATTTTGCCGAACGCACACCCTGTACTGTGTTAAATGATATGTCCAGGTATATCTTGGTATCTTTGTCGACCATCTTCACGATTGGTACAAATGCTTTATCAAGCACACTGATTGATTCCGTAATTCCAGATTCTCTGAGAAATTAAGTTTGGGATAAATAAGTATATCCAATTCAATCATTTACTTTCGGAAACTGCCTTTTCACACTAAATATAAATGAAATTTGAATATTAAAGTGTTTAAACACAGAGCAGATGTAAGCCACTGCATTATCTGATATTTACAGTTTTTAAAGAAATCGGAAAATCGCATCCAAATCTGCTTTAGAAACTGGAAGACACAAACTTTAATGCTACTGCCGTTTTCCAGAGCGGTGGTTCCTCACTCACTAAATCACTTTCGATAACTACATCGATATCTGAGGTAGGTAAAAATAAGCTCGTGTACAGGCTGCCAAATACACCAATCTTTGCTGCTGGCCAAATTCGTTGCAGAACTTCACGAACTCGTTCGAATACACGAAGTCGTAATGCCTTTTCCAATGGGGATGGCTTCAACCATGCATACAGATCTAGTAATTCTTCGTGTAACCTACAATTTCTCTGCGGTCTTTATGATTCCAGATTTTCACTTCATAATTTTTTCCAAGAGTTTTTGAAAACTCGTATCTGTCAGCTGCTAATTAAAGGTGAAAAAAAAAACACTTCAGCGATAAATCAAAAACTAATATGAAGAACAAACTGGAGGAATGTGACAATTTATTTCCAGTTAAACCTAATCTTTCATTTACTCACGTTCATTTGCGCCGTACTTTTATATTTACCAACATATTGTTTCATCTCTTTCAAAAAACGGTAATTTCAGCAAAGTTAGAGGGAATGAAGCAAGAAGGTAAATCCGCGCTCACCCTCGCAAAGAAAGTGCATATTTTCGTCGACACCACGGTGCAATGAACGCAGTATTTTCTCTTGGCGGCCAGTATACACGATCCGAAGAATCTGCTATGAAATTCAATGCTTCTTCTTCCCCATCCGAACTACTCCTGAAAATATATTTCTATAGAACAGCATTTTACACTCTCTAATTTTATTCCTTGATCAAAGAGATGTTGTTTTTCATTATTTGCATTCTAACAAAGTATGAATGAGAAGGGGAATGAGAAGTAAATGTAAGTGCAAATAATCGAAGAGGAAAATCAGTGACAATAAAACAGGTAAATCTTTACATTTCATATCACATTACTGAATGTCACCCAAATCCATAATGTTACAAAGAGCTACATGAAAATTCGTTTAGTTAAGGGATAACTTACGAAGGAATAGAACCGCACTGATCAGCTACCTTAGGACTGTTATCTTTCAAAATCATATTGAATTCCCATAAAAATGCGTTCAACTGAAAAGTGATCAGTGTACGTGCAATGATTCATTCCATATAAAAGAACTTAAAGTAATTTGAACTAATCAGTTCAATTAATGCATGCATAATTGATAGGTAAAATGTTTTAGTGAATGATTACTGCTGCTTATTTGATTTTTTTTTTGCCCTCCACTTATGATGCTAAGTTTCTGAATCAAATCCCATGTTGGGAAAGAATGAAAATGAATCTCATTTTCGTAAAATCTATAAGTCCATCCTATTCACATACAATTTCGTATTGACAATTATAAATATAAAATGAATAAATATATATAAGGTATAAGCAAAATTCCCTAGAAAAGCTAAGTACAGTCACCTACTATATTCTTTCAGCGTTAAATAATCGTGGAAAACATGCATAGTCATAACCTATCCATAAGTGGTCATAAAACAGTTCTCCTTTTGAGTGATCATCAGTAAAGAATTTCCAAAGAATCAATAACTGAGTTTGATTACAAAACGCCAAGATAAGTGAGGTTGGTGTTTTCCTGACCCTTTGAGATGCTTTAAGCTTAATATCCCACAAAGATGATAAAGTCAGCTGGGACATTGTAAAGAGGATCATTTCAGCTTTCCACTTAATCCTTCTTTACTGTCAGTACCAACAACACCTCTTCCTCCAAAATTTCCCATTCAACTTTCACCTTTCCTCATATAAAATAGCCAACTATCAGAATTTAACGGTAGTGAAGAGAGTGAGCGGCCTGTTATATCAAGTTTATGATGTTGTAGAAGACAGCTCGTTTTGCTTAACCTTTTCATTTTGTGGTTGGTGGAGAGATTCGGTTCAGTAATGAAAGCAAATATCACTGATAAGCTAATTGATATGCAAGACAGGTGAGATGTTCATCTACTTGGCCGTGCCCTCTGGATATTTGCCAAAAGGTGACTTTTTTTCTTTATATTTATAAAAAACAATGTGTGCGACAGATACTATATTCTGCACACAACGATGCACATAGTTGGTAAGTAAATGACGTTAGTTTTAGTTATCAATAAGTTAGGTTGGTCAATTAGGTTTTGTTGACATTAAGTGACATTGCTTTCTCGAGTCTTTCTAGTTCTATTTGGTCAGTTAATTTTAATTAACAAGTTACTTTAGCCTTATTTGATCAGTAAATTTTTGTTCTTGTAACGATTAAATCATTGTATTTTTGTATCACTTTTGATGCTTTCATGACTGTTTTAACGATTACTACTACTGAAGATATTACGTAGAAACTTTTATAACTATGCTATTGATTACTTTATGTCATAGCCATCTCAACAAAAATGTTCAGGAATGAAATATGATTCTAATAATTTTATCTTTAACCATCTGTCTTAACTGTATACCTTTGCACTCTTCGATTTCTTGCTTTAAGTAGTTGACATTTGTTAGCTTTTTCAATCAGCGATTTTCACTGATCCAGCCCTCTCTTTGTATCAGTTTTAATAGTAAAGCTTGATTTCGCATCATATTTGCTCAGCAGTTTGTTATGTAAGTCAAATAAATTGCCATGCTTCTCATTCATATGTTGTTCATTGAGGAAATGTTACCAGAATAAGCCTCTGGCAATATTTCCTCAACTAGAGACGTTGGCATTTTCAACTCACTTTTCGTTATTACTCATTCACTGTTACAGCATTTCACTAATTTTAACTTACTATTATCTTTACAATTACTTTAAATCGATAAAGCAATTCGCGTTATGGGTCCCATATTTTCCAAACATGTTCCGGAGGTATATTTTTTTAATAAAAATTGCTTTTCCGAAAAGATCAATTCTATCATTTTTTCTCGAAATAAGTAAAATTTAAATACTTCTGACTGCAATATAGTTTCAGTCTGTTGATCGTGGCAATATTTAGTTTCTTACAACTAATTTAACCCTAACGAATTTGGTAAATTATTGCCGGGACTGAAGTGAATAGTTGCTGAAGAACTCAACTTGTACAGCAAAGCAAAGGAATAAAGAAATTAGTTCTTAAAGAAACACCTGTAGAAAGATATAATTAAAAAACATAAAATTCTTCAAACAAAAGTTTTTCAAATTTAACCTTCAGGATATGGGTGAAGTGCAACGATTTATTGACAACCTGATTGCATCGAAAAAAGTTCTTCATGTCCCTTCTTTATTTTCAAAAGATCATTGATAACGATTACAAATTGATAAAACGTTTTAAATTTCATTTAACTCCATGATTTTGACTATCGTTCTCAAATCCTAGTTTTCAATAAAAATAGCTAATTTGGAGCTTGAATTTTGAAATGTCTTAACAGATAGTAGTGATATCAAAGAGCTGGTGCATATATTGTAAGCGAACGCGAAAAGTGTTTTCCGCATATCCGCTCAAA